TCAAAATCACTAGAATAGATGACCGGTGAATCTTCGAAGTGCTTGTTTCTACTGAAAGGGCATTGTATAGGATTTGTGTCTTTGTGTGCAGACATTGAGAGGCAGAGGATAATAGGCAGTTCAATGATTCCTTATGGTTTTGTTTGGTACCTTCTCAAGGTTTCAAGCTGGGATCCGAGAAGCGCACAACAGATGTCATAGTTAAGAAATCCGGTGCATTGCAGGTCATTTCTGGTGTTCAAGGATTGGCAGTGCTGAAAACAACCCAGGTGAGTTAATGCTAAACTAAGATCTTCTACTTTAATCAGTTTGGACATCTTACAGCATTCTATGAGAGTGATACTAGATGTCCTCTTTTTCCTGTTGTGTTAATCTTAAAGTAAAATAAGGCTTTCAAGTTCCTATGCATTCAGTAGCTAGCATCTTGATGATCGTTTCACACTCCTTGAAGTTCGCAGCTTCGTACAAATTTATGCACCGGCCTATATTCTGTTACTTTAGTTCTAGTTTATAATCAACTGTCAAATATTTTGTCATCTTTCTTTAATCGTCGGACGACTTTTTCAGCTTTTAGGTAAGGCTTCTCGACTATTGATACCGCCTAGGAGGTATAAACCCTCCGTCAAGAGCATTAATATCAGATTCGTGTTGTTTTAGAAATACTCTGTATGCGTAACGGTTGACATCTTATATTCTTCTTACAGTCAAAATTAGCACTATTGAAACATAAAAATACTGCCATGCATATTGCTATAATAGATGCTAGTACAACACCCGTGATTAGTTAAACACTTTGTACTGAAATTCTTAAAAAAGAAAGACATACGTTTTTTTGTTTTTGTTTTTTTTTGTTTTTTATATTTCAAATACTTTTAAAAATTATATTATTATTAATATATTTAAATTGAGATTTTAATTTTTCTAATTCGCATGTAATGAATTTATAGGTACCTTTATTTATTGATGTATAATTTTATTTATTTTTAATTCTAGATGATTGAATTTTATAATAAAAAATAAAATTAATTATTTATTTTATATATGCAATATGGATATCAAATCGAAGCTTGTCAAAAGATGATTAATGTTATATATTATATCTGAAAAATTGATAACAAATACAAAAGTTAATAACTTTTAAATATATTTATAATTTAAGTTGGTCAAGTGTTTTATGATTTTGAAAGTCCTAATAGGTATGGATAGAATCTAGATCTACATACATCTGACACACAAGATTATGAAGCACCTGACACATAGGATTACGAAGCACCAGAAGTTGACTTGTAGGATCGGAACGTTCTGCATTAATATAGAGGGGGATACATTAATACGTGCCGACTGAGGACATGAGACTGCATTCTGCTGACATGAAGACTGTTATAGAGTTGCTTGAATTGTTTAATTCTTGATTGGACATGAAGTGTTTGCATATTAGAATGGAATAGTCACTGTTTTAAGAGTCAGTGTTTAAAATTGTCTTCGATTATATTTATGTAGAAAATGCCACTAGAACCACATTAGTCATAATACCGACTAAGCTTTAGACTATCAGCAGTCCTATTTCAGAATACAGTCCAAAAAATTATCAGTCACCAACTGTCACAAGTGTGTCTGTTTCAAGTTGATGGTTCTCTTCTGTGGTCCAAGTGCTGGTGACGGCTACATTACCAGAAAACTCTCTTTTGAGTTGGTATCAATGGTTCATCATGCGTGCTATTTGTTTGGAGCTGTTTGAGAATATGAGATTCAGATATAGTCGTATATGATACTTGAATTTTTCACTTGTAGGAATATATGATGATTCTGTTACGTAATAACAGAGCTTGTTGGATAATTTTAAATCATCATTTTAGCCTTTTGTCCTGATAGAGTCAAGGGTGAGTTGGTGGAAGATTAATAAACTGAAGTACACTAAATATATGCTCTCTTCATGGCCACACATGATTTCTAAGTTAGCGAATGGGAGAAAAACTATATAATTTTGATAAGAATTGTACTTTTTCACCAAACAATTGTTTTTTTTTTTCTTTTCCCAAAGTAAGCAATGTTTCTACAAGAAGCAACCGATTTCTGTTTCCTATACGATCTACCATGTCAAACCATGTCACAAGATTATGTTATGATGATTGATGCCCGTTTGTCACTCAAATTATATTTTGCATTACAATAGTCAGGATTTGAAGGATTCATCAAGGACAAGTATACAATCTTGCCTGAAACTCGAGAAAGGATGCTGGCAACAGAGGTCACAGCATCTTGGAGGTATTTATTTCGTTCACACGTTATATGGTTAAGGATATAGTACACATTAGAGCTCAAATTTAAGTAACTTGTGAGCAAATTAATTACACAAAACTCTTTTCAGATGAATTATTTGATTTCTTCCTCTTGAACCTGTACCATGTAAGCATGTTTTTACTTAAAAGATTATTTTTTTCTTGATGTAGGTACCCTTTTGAGTCTTTAACAAGTGTCCCTTCAAAACAGTCCTACTTCTTGGAGAAATATATGGATGTGAAGAAAGTTTTAATTGAGACATTCTTTGGTCCTGCTAAAGGAGGGGTTTACAGTCCTTCTGTTCAAAGTACTCTCTATTACATGGCAAAGGCTGTGCTGGACAGGTTATCCTTTATTTTCTTGCATGCATCATGTATGCAATGTTGTGCAAATTACCCTTTTCAAATTCTTTGATGCTATCGATTTTTTTTTTTTATGAAACACGTGCGAGGTATATTTAGTGATTCTTTTCTTATTGGATTTCAGGGTTCCTGATGTGTCTTCAATTCAGTTGAAAATGCCCAACATTCATTTTCTGCCAGTCAACTTGTCCAGCAAAGATAACCCCATAATTGTTAAGGTATACTTCTCCACAATAAATAGAACAATAAAAAATGAAGTTGAGAAAACCCCCTAAACGATCTACATTTGGGAATTGATATGTTTTTAAAAAACGATAGCTATATTTTTTCTTTTTTTTTTTTGTTCTTTTTCTTTTCCCGAATTGGAGGGAAATCTAATGGCTGCATTATATATATTTACAGTTTGAGGATGATGTGTATTTACCAACGGATGAACCACATGGATCAATTGAAGCCACCCTTAGTCGGGTTCGTTCAAAGATGTGAAGTGCATACAATTTATTTACGTTCTTATCTAACAAGAATGAAAACTTATACAATGAAATGTTATAAATTTATTTCCGTTGAATATGATATTTCAGTTTGAATAAACAACTTTAAAAAGATATGGTTTGTTGGATGAGCCAACTCAACGGACTTATTTAACAACAATATGGTTTCGTAATAATAATTAGACCCATAGCAATTGTACTATTATGAAAAGAAAATGTATAATATAATACTTTTATGTATGTTTACCTATTGATTCTATTTGAAACCGTGTATCATGTATATCATTTCTTTTTATTTATTTCAATTATTTATATCTGTAAAAGTATGAGAATATAAGTAAACTATTATAGCATTATCAATTTTAGAGATTATCTTCTACCTTGCAAGTTGCAAGGAAAATTTTAAGTAATTGGAGATTGGTGGCGCACAAAAGAAAATCAAATAAAAGGAGCAATATGTTTTGGTGTAAAAATCTACTTCCCAAGATATACAACTATAGTAATAGTTCTTCCACCAATTAATTGCCATGTAGTAAAATCCATTTTATGACACAACTAGCACAAATTGACAAGAAAAGTTATAAAATAATGAAAAGAAAAAAAGAAAGAAAGAAAATGAGGGAAAAAAAAAATAAACAGAAGAACAAGAAGTTGACTTTGGAGCTTCACATTGTTAAGATTAGATTAGCTTCAATCTTCATCTGGATATCAAAATACTCTTTCAAACAACCATTATTAAACAAGCGAACCTTAATTTACAAAAGATCGAGCTACACATAAATTACAATTTTTCTTTTGATTTTCTTACAATTTTTCTTTTTTTGTTTTTTTTCCCCGGAAAATCAAAAGAAATATAAAAAAAACATAGTAGTTCTCATCAAGCAGAAAAGAAACCGTTGGTAGCAGCAAGACTCATCTGCGACTTGGGCTCCAAATTAATCTCAGCCCTCACCAATTTCTCCTCCATCAACAAACTTATTCTCTCTTTCACCCCAGAAAAAATTGGATCTTTCAGATTGACCCCTAAAAATCCCACGCACGAAGTCAACTCCATTTCTTGACCGCTTTTCCTCGAGATTTTGACCCTTCTCTCGTACTCCTCCGCCACCAACATTGCTATGTCCGCCATTAATCAACCAGCTAACGGTAAATTTAAGTAATTAAAACATAAAAAGGGAGATTATACGAATTTCACTCTCTTTTTTGACTGATTGAATTTGAAGTGTGTGTTTTTTAATGGGAGTTTAGTGGGATTTTTTGTGGGTATTTAAAGGGTAAGAGAAGCGGTCCAAGTGGATAAGGTTTGGTTTGTTAGTGCGTATTTTATTTTATTTAATAAAATAAAGCAAGCGGCGTTTGGCACATTGAAATTTTCTTTTTTTTGTGTGCTCGGCTAACTCTTTTTCTGTGGTCGGCAATTTGTTTTTTTAATTCTAAACAACGGTACTAAATTAATAATAGAATTAATTGATTGATTAAATTAATTAATTAAAGTGGGTTTTAGCTTGTCATGTACTTATGTGAAGTGCCATGCGCACCGCTGACTACGTGTCCACATTTTAAAGGCTGTGTGAAATGGATTTCGTTTAGTTATTTTTTTTAAGATAAGTATTGGAATTTGTATAGTTAGGATTAGGATGCATTGCGTGTGTTTACATTGAGAATAAAATGTTGCGGTATTTTCGAGAGTATTGTTGTAAATTTTGAAAAGTGATAATATTAGAAGGAGCTATAATAATTAAATTTGAGAATCATAAAGAATTCACTTTATGATATCACCAATAACATAATCATCGAGAGTATTTGCTAAAATAACACAAACACACACACACACACACATTATATTCTTACACTTTATAATTGGAGAAATTTTACTAATCATAAAGAATTCACTTTATAATATCACCAATAACATAATCATCAGTAGCCCAGAACATAAATTGTATCCAACTGTGATAAATCCAATAAACAACCATCATATCAATTGAATCATACATTATTTCCTCTCCTCTTATCCCTGATTACAAACAATAATCAAACGAGATTAGGCGAATTCCTCATTCATGGTTCCGATTTTCCGAATTTACATTCCTTGCTATAATATAATACCAACCGCAAAAATTGACGAAAAAAGTCAATCCTAATAATGCAAAGATATTACTTACTTGGCCGGCAAGCAAAACTCACAGGAGGCCAAGCCCTTTAAGCTGCTGAACATGCTCGGAGGGTAGTGCTGGGGGTGACCAATCGCCTCCCGTCATCTCACCATCGACATCCTCGACTACATATTCCTGCAAAAGAAATATAATTATATTAATAATAATTATAAATAATAAAAAAAAACGTAAGAATGAGAGAACTTGTCGAAAAATACCCAAACTTTTGTGATTTTTGCAATTTAATTCAATTTTCAAATATTTTCAATGTTGGATGACATTCGGTCAATATTTTGCTCATTTGGTTGAGCTCAACACCATATGGACATCAATGTAGTTTAAACTTGTGCTATTTTAGTATACAGTGTTTAAATAAAACAAATTTAAAAAAATAATACAACAAATTAACCACATATTGTTGCGTAAGTAGCACAACGTGTCATTCTGACGTCAATATCATTCAAACATTAGGAAGATAAGTTTTATACAGAACAATTTGAGAATAAAGGTTGGGTACTATTTTCATGTAAATAATAATAATTATCACAAACTTCTTCAAATAAATTTGAGGAAATATGCATTCTTGGCACATAGAATGAAACGTAGTAAGAAAATGCAATTCTTTTGTCAACAAAGAAGGAAAGTAGAAAAAACACGAGTAATCATGAGAACTCACTTTTGTTAGCATCCTTTTGGCGAGTATGTGATAGTGCCTCTGCCAAATCCTCTGCCCGACCATTGTGGCCACTAACACACTATAAAATATGCCGATTACTGTAAATAAGCCAAGGATTATCAAAGCAACTATAAATAGTAAGGGCAGTCCAGCTTCACCGGCACCCCCAAGGCAACCACATTCGCTAACCGCGCTGGCACAACCTTCGAAGCACGAGGTACAATCAGCCCACATACAGAGAGTGCCAGGCAAGTGGCAGTCGGCACATATACTGCACAAAAAGAATAAGAAAAATAAAATAAATTACCAAAAAACTATTTAATTCAACTTATTCAAAGTAAACGTTACTATATTTGACAGTGTGGAGAAAAAAATTTCTGAAATTTTGTTTCAAAGGAAAGACTATTCTCATATAGAGATCTTTTATATAAGATGTATGCATCAAGAATGTAAGACGAAGTAAGTTCCTTTTAGTTTTTAAATTGTTTTCAAGAAAATTATGTCACAAGATATAGAGAATACCCAGGATGACAACAACAAAGGCAAAGTTCTCGACAAGGCTGAGCTAGATCGTTTCGCACTCTTCTGTCGTAACAAGTTATAAAGCATCCGGATAAGCCAAGCAAAGCGAAAAACAATAATGCTCCTACATAACAAGTATCGAATGGATTTGCCTTTAGCATATTAACATTAATGGTTCTCCACCAATTCATAAAAGTAGCAGTGACATGCGTAAAATATTCTGAAAACATGCGTGTTGAAGACTTTATACTCGTTCTATGCTGAGTTAATTTTTTGTCCATTGCAAATGGAGCTGGAAGAGTCATTGTTGACAATTCTCCTGGCATAGTGCTAATAATGGACTAGATCAAAATGGCTCAATTAAATTCTAGTGCTTCTTCTATTAGTGAAGTTTCTAGAAAAAAAAAATATATCAAACGGCGCAATGCACCTTGGGTCGCTACGGAAACAACCTCCTTGTATAATTACAAGGGTAAGGTCTGACCCCCCAGACCCCAACCTGTTGGGAATATACTGGGTATGTTGTTGTTGTTGTTGTTGTAAATATGACGAAATTTCACGAAAGACCTGACCTTAGACTCAAATCTTTTGCTTCTATTGCAAGGTTCATTTAGAGAATATAAGGTATATTTCTTCATCAGACATCACTAAACCAAAAATGTTTCCACTTTGACATAACACCCAAAAAGGCTGAATGAAATTCAACAAAGCAAACAAGCCACAAGTGTTCTGCGCTTGCATGATTTTAAATTTGACAGCGAATATCTACAGAAACTCCGAAGGATAGACAAGTTGGACTTTAGGTGATAGTAGTTGTTGTATGACTATTTGAAAATAATAAAAAAGATACTGAATTTGGAATAAAATCAATTCAAGCACCACTAAATTCTTGAACATAACAGACGAAGCTCAAATAAGTTCAAAATGTCTTACCACATATGTAGTAGAAGCTAATTTCGCTGTCAAAACCGCATGTCAGACGAAGCCAAAATTTCTGGTAACCATCTATAAGATACACCAAATATGCAAAGAGAGAAATAACCTGCAACAAGGATTATACTTGTCATGTTTCAAAATACTAGCTACGAAAAATCACCCTTTCAAGCAAGTGAAGAGATCAAAGCTATAATACTATATATGTAAGGGGAAAAAAAGTATCACTTTACTCGAGAACAGTCCAAACAACCTACCAGTTGCACGGATAAAAATATAAATAAAATGTCTCTAGTAACAAAAAATCGGAACTTCAATGTTCTCCATTTCCTATGGGCAACACCATGTACTCTAAGATAATAAGGAGCCTTGCAAGTTGTGCAGTGAGCAAAGGCAAACCCTTCCTGTAGGATAGAAAATGAAAGAAGAGGAATAATTAGCAGCTTCATATCGAAACAGAGTAAAAACGTATATAAGTTTGATTAAAGTAACTACCCGGAACAAAAAAACGACTTCCTCTAGCTACAACACTCAATAACTATCATACAACGGAGGAAAGGTGTAACAATGATAAAACCAAATTATAATAACAATAAGGTAAATGCAAATGGAGGAAAAATAGAAACAGAATTTGAAAGACATTGGCTGCAAAATTTTCGAGAACTCTACATCAGCAGAAGACTCACCTTTTAGGAAAGATGATTTCAAGATTAGAACTTTTCAACAACCAAAAAGAAATTTTACCTTCACAGCACGCCAATGATCCAGACATTCTCTGTGAACATATTTTGATGTCCCTTTGCACTTGCAAGGAGCAATAAAATCCCTACCTGATCAACAGCCCACGTAGAAAGTTCCCCTCAAAGAAAGAAAATAAACGAGTTTATGAAAGAGACGAATAAGAGCAAAGCAGAATATCCAGAAAATCTGGTATATGGCACCATTTTTCACTGTAAACTTATGAAGAAAAGTGAAAAGGAACTGAGAATTGAGCAAGAAAGGAAAGGGTTTTACGTCCGTTGCACTTCAAGGTACAACGAACAAGATGCATCCACCAGCTGACACAAAGAGGCAACTTTTTTCATTCTAAGATTATTGCAGCAGCATAAATGATTAGGCTTCAAAACTGAGATTCGAGTAAAAATTAGGGATTTTACCGTCGGTTTCGAGGCAAATACGGCACTGAATTTGCTCATCAGGCCCCGCCTCGAGGTCAATCTCAGAAGGGTCTTTGGCGGGCATCGGCGCCACCAGCGGTGAAGAATCGGAGTGCTCGCCGCCCATTTTCGCCGCAAAGAAAAAAAAAATAGAATGAAAATACAATACGATGATGTTTCAACAATTCGAATTCAATTTCATACGGTCAAAAAGAAAACCCCTTTCTGAATAATTCCCAAGAATTCCATCGCTTTTTGCACTAATTATGCATAAAATTCAGGTTTAGCATATGTTGAAAAAAGGGGTTTTCAAAATTCAGGCTTTCAATGTTGAAAGCCTGAGAGCATCTGAGTGGATTGGGAATTGAATTGACGGTCTTGTAGGTCTACGTGAAATATGTAATTCTCCAACGATAGATGTCTAAACACTGTAACGTGTTTTATTTTTTTTGAATAGCTACTATCTACAACTCAATTGATATTCACCAAATTTTTTTTTTGAAAATTTATTTGCTTACCACATGGATTTAAATTTATTGCGGATATACGAAGTAGATATTTTATTTGCATGTATACCTATTCAATTGCAATTATTGGGATTGAGACTTAAAATCCGTTACCACATAAGTAGAGAACACGTTCCTACAATCACGCTAGTAATATTTTTGTATAGAATTTTCACTGAAAGAAAAGGTAAGTTTATATAACCTATTAATTAGGAATTTGTTCATATCGTGCTCGGCGAAAGACTTGGAATTTGGAATTTAAACGTCCTCTTTTCTCTCATTATACAGAAAATAAAACAATCAAATATATACAAAATATACACGTTCATAGAATAAGTCTTCTTGATGATATAAACACCGATTTTGAACTATACACAATATACAGAAAATACCCATCGCATACACACAACACATATTTTCCGTAGCACATATACGGAAAAATACCCAACACATATACGGAAAATGCCCAACACATATACCCGACACACATATACGGAAAATACCCAGCACATATACGCAGACAAGAGATGGTCGAAATTGCTTGTATTCTTTGAAGACGATAACTCGATCTACGATATGGGGGTATCTCGTCGCCTGATGTCGGAGATTTTCCAAACTTAGTTCTTGCCATCTTTGAAATCGAGTGTAGAGGAATGGGGTTTGTAGTTGGTGTGTTGTGGGAGAGAGTGGGGGAGAATTTGTGTTGACCTGTTTAGACGTGAGCGGTTACCGAGGTGTGAGAGATTACTGTCTTACCAATTACATCGGAAGCAATTATTTGGAAATCACATCTGAAATCAATGATTGCATTAGCTACTATCGCGGTGCTTCCGGAGCGATACCCAGTCACGGATTTTTTGGTGGCCACCCCCGATGTCCGTCGCCAGGCCCAGATGGAAAACCTTCTCGCCATCTTTCTCTAGCAAAGAATTAAACACACCTAAATAACCAGAAAAAATTAGTGCACTTCTTCCCGAGAGAACCAGGCTTTGGGAGGAAAAAAAAAGAAAATACGTATGAAATTTGGAGAAGACACAGTGAGAGAGGGAGGAGAGGGAGAGAGAAGAGATGGGAGAGAGAAGACGTGAAACGTGTTGAAGAGAACCCTTTTTGGTATTGATATTATCACCACTAATTTAGCTAGTAAATTAATTATTTAAGTCAACTTTTGATATCATCCGAATTCTAGTAAAACTGCAAATATAAACGTAATATTTGACTATAATGCAAATATTTTTAAACGGGTATTATTTGTATAATTAAAATTGAACTTTCTAGTGTAGGCTGTAATTTTTTCTTTTTTCTATAGATATATTTAATTCTTAAAGAGCTACCACCCACAGCCCAACTGATATTCATCTCGTATTTTTTTGTATTTATATGTTATTTTTTGTATTCATCTGGTATTTTTTTGTATCAAATATTTTTTTTAAAACTGGTTTTATTTATTTGTATTCATCAGTTATTAATTTTTTCATCTGGTATATTTTTTTGTATCAGGTACTTTTGTGTTCTTTACGTAATAATAGATTTTAATTAAAAACAAAAGAAGTAAAAAGGAGGATAAAAATGAGTCATTCATTCTGAAAGGACTTTTAGATGTAGACAGACTTCTACAATCTTTTATTCTCTCTCATGCTATATCATGACAAGAAAGAAATTAAAAAGTCACCGTTGGAGGAAGGTTTTTGTCACAATGCATCTACCATTCTGCAATTAACATACCATTGGAGATGTTCTGAGAAGGTTCTGTTTCTAGATGAAGCTTTAGTCAAATAAGCGTAAGTAAAAGAACGAAGAATAACGTGCGCGAGCCAAAAGTCATTGCATTACTTCATTTTTTACGGCGGCTCAAGCTCGACGAGCCGGGTTTTTTAGAGGGTTATTCGATATGGATTTGTCCGCAAATATAATCACTTTTAATTCAATTACGAATACAATACTCGTGTATTACACGGGTGTTGAATTAAGAAACATATATAAAATAATATTAAAACTTTTATATTAAAATTTTTAATCCTAAAATAATTTATGGTTTAATTAAATTGTCAAACAACAGCCATTTTATCAAAGAATTTCAAAAAAGTTTCAAATTGTAGTAAACTTCAAAATTTTTAGGCGTTATTTTACTATCTATTTAAAGTAAATCGCTAATGCTATTTTATAGCAATAAATTATATATAAAGATTTTAACTATCTATTACTTCCAAATTTCAATTATCTTTCTCCTACTTTTACATAAAATCAATTCTAATCATTTTATTTTAAATATTATTTTAATACCAAATCAAAATCACATTCAAACCTAATTCAACCTCTTTTGCAAAATTAATAGAGTTAATAAAAAGAATCAATTAAACCTCAATCCAATCACACCCTTAAAGTTCGACTCGACACAAATATTCAAGTTTGTTGTTGGCTCAAAATTTCAATAATAACAGATAAGGTTTTTCTCATGTTTTGCTTATTTAATAAATTATATGAGCAGGTCATCAAGTACTTGATCACGTAAAATATTCATAAATTATAAGCTTGAGTTTGAGTTCGAGGTGGTCAAGCATGACTCAACCTCAATCAATTCGAACTCGAGTTGAAATTTGAGTCGAGTCTTGGCGAGTAGCTCATTAGCCGCCCAATTCATTTACAGTCTTAGTTTAGACGAATTACGCAATTACGTATTTGCCTAGTTTATTTTATAGTTGTTACACAAATAATACAACAGTTTATGTATAAATATATACTTGAAATAAAAAAAAAAAAAGAATAAATTGCAGTTTTTGTAAGATATGTTTCAATTATTTTCATAAAATTCATATATGTATGGACGTTTTGAATTTTGTTTCATATGTATGATAAAAGGTTTACTGATCGATTCTTTAACTTGTTGGAAAACTATAAAGTTGTCATTCACAATTTGTCCACATGTTAGGAAATTATAAATTGTCAATTGACAATTAGTCCACATGGTATAAAATATTTCAACAATAATCAATCCAAATAAAATTTTTTTCACAAGGATAACTTGACATAAATTAAGTTTTTGAGCATTAATTATCTGATTTCTTTAGTCATTCTATCAAAATATATTTCACTCCAGAGTTAATAACATTAAATTATTTAATTATAGAAATGTAATGGGTTTTAAGTACACCTATAATATTTCAATTGAATCCAATTCATATTTTTCATTTCTTCCCTAAAATAATAAACATACAAATCTTATTATTATATTTAAAACAAATAAATCTTAAAAAAAACTTCAGAGTTTTGGAACCGGAACTGCCATTTTCTCGGGCCAATTTTCGGTTCAAAATTTTATGAGTCGCCAACCCGGCCCATTGGGCATGTCTACTCCCATCAATTTTTTATCAAACATTTTAATTATATAAAAAGAATAAAATCTACAGTTCAATTAATATTAAGGACTCAATCATTTTATGTAAAGGTGCATTTTGATTAACTCACACAAAAGCCATAAAGAAAGATCATCACTATAAAAGGGGTAAAATTGTCAGAAACACTTCAAAATAGACCTAAAAAATGTCTGAGCCCGGGTTCGAACCGGGGACCTCTAGTGTGTGAGACTAGCGTGATAACCAACTACACCACCCAGACGTTATGACGTATTTTACTGTATTTAAGATAATATCATAATGTATATATTGAAATTTAAATAATTATGACACAATAATGACATGAGAATGCATCTTACCGACTCATCGAAATTATCCATTTCAACTGCAGAATTTCCAATACAATTCTCAACTGCTCCATTGAGTCAAGGTCAAAATAAATAATTTTGAAAATGCTTTTGATAGCTATGGCATAATTATTGGGCTAATGTATGTAAAACAAAATATTTCAAAACCTCAAATTTTATGTTCTTTCATCTTTGTCTTCCCAACTAAAGTTTCAAAATTGAAGAAATAAATTGTTGATTTATGATTTTTATTTAAAAAAAATAAATAAATTCCACCTCTATACAGGCCAATTGGCGATAAATGATTGTTGATGAACAACTTATGTATATATCATCAAACTATATTTTAATTAGGATAGTGAATATTGAGTGGTGGACCATGCCTAATTTGCAATTTTTCAAATGTAACATGGTATATGCTAATGAAAATGGGACCACAAATAATTGTTAATTATAATATATGGGTACGTCACGAAGCGCATGAACACAAAAGTTGATTGTCCGATTAAGATTGATTAGCAATAATAATTAATCACGATTAATCTTATGAAGCGTACGTAATCTTTCTTTTGAAATTTGATCCTAATCATCAATCACCACATACCAAGACTGTTTCTTAAATGATAATAGATTTATCTAGCTTCACTGATGATGTCGATAGATTTTATATAGATAATAATAACAAGGATATCTAAATCTATCTTTGCCCCCACAAAATGACGGGACAATTTGACACAAATATCATATTACACAAGTAAAAATATATAGTTTAAGGTGATATATTATACTTTTGTTCCTAAAAGAATTAAAAAAAAAATATTAGTCTAGTTGTTTTAAAAGTAATAATTTGAAAGTCGATGAGTTGATAAAACTACTAATTTGAAAAGTTCACCTATTCATACTAGCGAGCGGTAATTATATCTATATATATATCATAATATTTTAAATAACATTAAGTTATTTAAAATACAAAATATTAAGTTTTTTTTTTTTTTTNATATTATAGAATATCCAAAATACATATAAATAACTCCTTTACCATTTACCAATATCGGAGTATGAACTAGTCACATATCTTAGCAAGTTATTTAGATGAATATATAAAATGTTTACAATTCAATTCTTTAGACTACATGAATCTCAAATTTAAATGAAAATTTCCTAGACACAACTAAACCATCTGTGTTTCTCAATTACATTTGAATTTTTTAGACTTATCCATCATAGAAAATTTCTTCCCTGAGAACGGACAATTAAATTCTATATATTTTGTAAAATTTATTTAAGTTGGAATATAAAAACTTGGTATTTTTAATGTTTGGGGCCAATTAAATGACCTAGAATTCGGGCTCTTGATTTGAATTATCTCCTCATAGTGTAAGTGAAAGTGACCTGGTGAGCATATTCAACCAAAATTATTATTAAAACAGTGCCACTTATTATTATTATTAATATTATTTTCTTGTTTTTCAGTGGAAAATGTCATGTACAGATACGTCCATTATCAACGCTTTCATGGGTCCTTTAATTCTGAGGATTAATTGAGGGATAAGCCTTAGTGGACTTCACTCATAGGCTATCTTCAAATTAATCAATGGCAAATCAAAAATAANTACACTGTGTCACAATCGACCTGAAAAGATCCATGGCATTCTCTTTGCACCTGAATAATAAACCTGATATTCTTATTCACACATTTACAACTTTGAAACTTCATTATATTTTGTTGTCGACAACCCAAATTCCAAAATCTACATGATTGTTTGAATATATGTTGCCTTTACTCTTGATTAAGGTGAATTTGTAATTTGAGAATTTAGGATTCTTCAATTTTAACAAGATATTAGAAATCGGGTTTTCTAGCCCTATTTTTTTTTAAATTTTTGGTGTATTTACATTTTTTTCAATGAGTGTTATTCTTTTTGTTCCCATTAGATAACAAGTCAGACACATAAGCTTTGGTGATCGTTTTTTTGACTGTGTATTTCAGCTTTAAAAAATAAGTTGATAAGCTAGCTTATTAATTAATTCTATCAAACACTTTTATAATATAAGCTACATTTTCAGTCATAAGTCATCAGTAATAAACTCGAAATTCACTTAAAAGCTATAAACTAGCTTATCACCTTTAATTTAGTTTATTAGTTAGGTTTACCGAACATAGCCAAAAGTATTTGGTAAAATTAACTGATAAGCTAGCTCAAAAAAAAAAAAAAATTGATGAGTTATTTGAAAAGGTACACCAAAGGAAGCTTATGAGATAAGTTCGAGCTTTTTAAACAAACTCGTCCTACCAAACCAAATTTATTTGAATATAGAAAACTTATAAGCTAATCAAATAAGTTATAAACTAGTTTATATGCTTAACAAACACAACCTATGAGTTATGGCTGAAAAGCTAGCTTATATGATAAAAATGCTTAGGCTATGTTTGGTAGACAAATAAACTAGTTTATAGCTTATTTGTTTAGCTTATAAGTTTCCTGTCTGAAATAAAAATTTCAATTGATTTATTTGAAAAGCTATCCAAAGAAAACTTATTTGATAAGCTCGAGCTTTTTAAGAAATTGTCGTACCAAACCAAACTTATTTGAATATAGAAAACTTATAAGTTAATCAAATAAGTTATAACTAGCTTATTGGTTACCAAACATAGTCTTAGAAATTCTTCAATTTTTACTAGATATTAGAAATCGAGTTTTATATCCCCATTCTTTTAAGTGTTTGGTATATTTACATTTTTTTTATAACTGTTATTATTCATTACGTTTACATCATATAACAAGTCAGACACATAAGTCTAGTAATCGTTTTTTTGACCGTGTGTTTCGTTTTAAAAAATGGAAAGATCGTGACTTTTATTTCTAGACTAGATTGGAATAAATCAAATTTTCAAATGAGGAAAAATTGAGATTTAATCTCATGTTTAATAGTTTATTACTAATCAGACCTAAATAACGTGTGACACCAAATAACATTGTTTTCTCAACCCAAAAGAAAAAATAAAAATAAAAATCCGTAAGTCAATCACTAGTTTAAATCATTTTTTTAAGCAAAACAAATACACAAAGTACTCTCTCAGCCCCACCCCCACAAAAACAAAAACATAATTGTGTCATAATTTATATGCAACAGTTGAATTATACTTTATTGTCCTCCAATTGGCCATTAAAATACCAACATTTCTGAAAAAAATGTTGCAGCATTTATGGTCATATTCGATTCTAGCTACTTTTTCTTCTTCTTCTTCTTCTTCGCCATAGCCAAGCTGCTGTAATTTGTTGTTCGTTTGGAGGGCTGCCAATTAATTAAGCCATTGAAGCTTGTTTCTCAAAGTGGGCTCTTTATAGTTTGTCACAACATAAAAAGGTTTATTTATTTTATTTTATTTTTCCTTATTATGTTTCTCTTTCAAGTACTTGCATGAGTTTTTTCCTTTTTTTTTATTTTTTTCCCTTTCAAATTATTGTTTTACTTTTGTTTTTTATATTATTGGATGGTGAATATATGTTGGTTAGGAGAATCCCGGTTTGGTTTCTCGTATTGATTGATTTATTCCTCGTGTTCGGCTGTGTTAACATAGTCAATCTGTGACCTGCTGTTTTTTATTTTATTTTGTTTGTGCGGCACAACTATTTTTTCATAAAATAAAAATATATATATATATTTTTTCCCCTGTTTCGATCTTGATTAAAACCCACACGTATTGAAGCATGTATGTGCTTGGCTGTAAATTTTTTAT